TTTTATACTCTCGCATGATAAAGTGATAATCGAGATTTCATTATCCGTAATTTATATATATTTTCAATAAAATGATCTGATCTCGGTGATTTTTACTCGGGCTATGCTACATTAGAAATACAGTATTTGTGCAAAGTTTTGGTCGGTTATCTTTACTGGTGTTGAACTCATATACTATAAAGTGAACGAATCAGATGGAATTCAAAATAGCATTATATTGGAAGAAGGCGTGGTTGTGAATCGATTTCACCCATATTTCGTACATGTCATCAGGGTGTTAAGAAAATATTACATACTGAATTTTATTGAAATCGGTCGAGTACTTCCTGAGATATGGTTTTTGGTAAGTGGGCGACGCCACGCCCATTTTCAATTTAAAAAAAAAGCCTGGATGCAGCTTCCTTCTGCCATTTCTTCCGTAAAATTTAGTGTTTCTGACATTTTTGTTAGTCGGTCAACGCACTTTTAGTGATTTTCAACATAACCTTTGTATGGGAGGTGGGCGTGGTTATTATCCGATTTCTTCCATTTTTGAACTGTATATGGAAATGCCTGAAGGAAACGACTCTATAGAGTTTGGTTGACATAGCTATAGTAGTTTCTGAAATATGTACAAAAAATTTGGTAGGGGCGCGTCCACGCCCACTTTTTCAAAAAAATTACGTCCAAATATGCTCCTCCCTAATTTCACTTTAATATCTTTATTTATGGCTTAGTTACGACACTTTATAGGTTTTCGGGTTTCGCCGATTTTGCCCATCTTCGAATTTAACCTTCTTATGGAGTCAAGAAATACGTGTACCAAGTTTCATCATGATATATCAATTTTTACTCAAGTTACAGCCTGCACGGATGGACGGACGGACAGACGGACGGATCACTTTGGTATATATAACCCTATATCTGACTCTTTTAGTTTTAGGACTTACAAACAACCGTTATGTGAACAAAACTATAATACTCTCCTTAGCAACTTTGTTGCGAGAGTATAAAAATGTTCAGAAATCAATCAGCGCCTTCTGCCCATCCCAATATACCAAATATAGTATTTTTCTCCCTTCCGATTGACTTTATACAGAAATATCGTAATACTGTATACAATATCGCCTAGTAAGGGTCGCATAGCATAATAAAAACAAGCGAGAATATTTCCAAACATACATAATTTGCATGGGTCCACCCCTTTCTTAGCATTAATTTGATAAATATAAGTATATATTTCGACCGTAAAACAACGACACCACAAAGCGCCTAGAAGTAGACATCTGACATTTCAAAATATATTGGCGACCTATTGACACCTGCTTTGCATACATTTTGTCATTTGCACATTTTCTAGTTGCTAAATAGTAAATTACCTAAGCTTATAAAGGAAACTATTATAATTAGCCTCAATTTTAACCTAAATAATATCGGATATCACTAAATTTTAAGTGAAAACTTTGACTAACTTATGCTTTCTGCATATAACATACAATTGTACATTTCAGTATCCCATAGTAAATGTGTTGTAATTTGAAATCATTCTCGACTACCCCTCAAATGGTGGCAAATGCTATCAGTTACCCAACAGATGGTTATACAATGGTTACATAGCTTTCAACTATACAAATTTTTATAGTATGTAGACTGATCTGGAATTGAATTGGAATAGAAAATTATTTTAAAAAATTAAGGTTACCATATTGAAAAAAAAAATCATATATTATTATATACTTCAACCGCGTATCTGTCTCTTATACACATCTAGATGTGTATAAGAGACAGAATCAGATTCAATAATTTTTTTTCACATAAAAAATTTAATATTTTATTAGAATTTTTTATTGTTACAAACATACACTATTAAAAAGAAATTCTGTAAATTTTGGAAAATATTTTAAACTGACTAAAAACTAAAAAAAGATGTGTCCGCGTTGGCATGATAACTCCTTAAAGAACCATCTAAAGTAAAATAACACAAAAATAACGTTAAAACCTTACTTAGAACTTTGACGAAGAAAAAAAAAACAGGAAATTGGATTATTGTCAGACATTTTTACAAAAAAGTGAAAATTTCACAATTTTTTTTTTCAAATAGTTGTAATAAAAAAACATTCTTCGTCTAAGTCCTTAAGAATTGTATCTAAAAGACTTGTATACAATTTTATGAAAATCGGTTGAATAGTTCTCGAGAAATCTTATCAACCGACTTCAAAAGCACAGTTTAGAGAAGCACGCGTTTAAAGACGACACTCTTAGCCTAGCTAGCCTCGAGCGCACAAGTTTTCCAGGTGGTATCTCCGAAACTATTACTTTGATCAACTTGAAAATTTAGTACAATATTCTGGAGGTATTGATTTAACCCCAAAATCTCAAATAGTGTATGTTTGGTTAGATTTGCTCTCTGAAGTTTTTAAAAATGGCTACTTTTTATTATCTTAATAAAAACAGAGTTCTGCAAAACCTTATAAAGCTGCAAGATTATTCCCTTCGTATAGCATATATGACTTTCTTAAGCCCGGCGACTGAAAACTCAAAGTAAATATTTTAAACATTTACTTGTCAATATGCTTGAATCTCGTAACCACATTCGTTTCGTTTCACCTTCGTCCTGAAACAGTTGGAATTTCTGCTGGGTATACCCACATTTACAAACGTAGATTAATATAATGTAGTCCTGTGCATATTTGCTGCTTAAAATTAGTATTCCGTCAGCGCAATCACATTGAAAAATGCCACTTAGTGTATCCTGGCCGTAGAGACTACACAGCCAACTTCCCACTGCGGGTCAACGGTGTTAAATTGACCGTCCGCGGGCGAAGCGCGTTCTGCTAACACCCGACGGGCGCAACAATAGTGTTAAATGTATATTTAACTATACAGAATGTGTCTATATGCATACATATCTACATTGGCACATATTGTTGAATTACTTTGACCACTGGACGCGCGCTTTGTGTCGGTCACGCCTACACGCAGTGATACAAACATATAAATCGACATATGTACGATACATATGGGTATACACATATATGGTACATACGTACAAACATACATATATTAATTCATACTGATATCCTGCAGCTTATCCCTTTCTGCGTCCCCTCTGCATCCCTACGCTCCCACCTTAATAAACTCAAATGGATGTCAGCAACCAATTAATGTTGTTGTTGCTGCTTAACTACATTGACTCTCGGCTATCCCTCGTGTAACTGCTGTGTCTGTGTATGTACTTATGTCCATATATGTATATGTGCGTTTGTTGCCGCATTGTAGCTACTGTTTAGTGTGCCGGCGCCGCAGTGCAGCCAACGGCTCTGTTGTGCGAATTGAAGCGACTGATATTTGTTGTAGTTGTTGTGCGTAGAGACTATTTAATATTCATTTGTCGTTTGTTAATGAAGGCGCTGCATTTGTCGCTAACTTATCCTGATTTATTTACCACTAGCAAACAGCCGAACTCACGTACGCGCACGCACTGTTGTGTGCGTAACAGCACAGCAGCAGAGGCAGAGGTACCTACATTTTGCCTCAGCCGTCGCCGTCGCATAGTGGTTGGCAACAACAATGAATAGTTACAATGCAATACATGCAACATTTACAATATAACAGTGGATTTTGTTTGCAGTCGGACGGTCGGTCTTTTATCACATTCAAAGAACCAGTGTACACTGTGGTGAAGTTTCGGATGTTTTTGAGCAAATATCAAACTAACACAACTTATCCTAGACGGGGTTAAAGTTTTCCATAAAAGGACTTGAGCTTGATCGGTCAATTTATATTCCAGCAATATGCTATACGAGTAGTTGTCCGATATTTTTCTTATGATAAATGTGCAGCTTCTTTGGATGAAAAGAACGTGTGCAAAATTTTCAGACTGATATCTCAAAAACTGAGGGACTGGTTCGCATATATAAGGATAGATAAATGAACATTGCTAAATCCACTCTGCTCGTCTCGTTGATTACTTATAAATAGTTTTTTCATAGGGACTCTACAAAAGTAGCCCAATAGGGAGAGTAAACGACGCCATATTTTTACCCATTCTTTCAACATTTCTCTACAGTAAGGTTTGCCATTTCATCATGGAAAGATAAACGATCCAAGAGCGAGTCGAAATTATAAAGATTTACTAACGAAATTCGGAGTCAGTGGCCTGAACTTTAAGAGCGCTACGTCATATTTATAATCTATATATAATCCACAGGCACAGTGGTGGCCATGCGGAAGAAATCGATATCCCAAACGGTTTTCGTTTTATTTAGAAAACTTTTCTAGCGGTCTTATTGACAAACCCGTTACACTAGAAGATCAATGTATATAATGAATGACAGCGTGTGGTCTGATCAAAAAGCCTCCGGATACACCCGAATGTGACTGTGTGGCTACCATGGAGCAACATGGTCATTCGGTTGTGTGACCATGTGGCTCCATTTCGGCCGGCATCATAATCAAACTAGTAAATTTTCGTGCAATCACGGGACTCATAGTCAACAACAACAACAATAAAACGATAATAATGGTCCAATAATTCGCGCACGGTCCTTGCAAAGTTCTGTCTGCATGCACATAGGAATGTAATGCACTTCATAATCAAACAATGCACTTGCGGAAAGTCTGTTCCACAGCATAAATGTGGCCATATATATGTGTATGTATGCGATTAGTGCGAGGTGGGTGTGTGAAGAGGAAGTTCGGCCGAAGCGTGGGTTCTGTGTTGACGGCGTCAAAATGCGCTGTGAGTGAGTCAGTGTGGCTGGAGTAGTGTTGTTATTGCATGTGTTGCGTTGCATTTTGTTGTTATCCGAATTATATGAAACCAACAACAATTACAAACTTCGAAATGCGTAATTTAAACACATTAAGTTAAATATTTATCATAGTTTAGTGTATTTACACGAAAATGAATTCGTAGAATGTAACACCTAACACACACACACCGCATACCAAAAGTGCGGGTGATATGTGGTTATAATAATTCTAATTTTGTTGTTACACATTTGTTTTTGTATTTGCAGATTGGGAGCGTGAAGCCGTCTCCAAGGCCGAAATATTACGTCTCATATATCAAGGTAGATTTCTACATTGCAATGTAACTTTAGGCGCACTGGGACTTCCGCTGGGCAAAACGACTGTTATGCATTTAGTGCCGCGTGATAATTTGCCAGAACCGAATTCGCAAGGTAAGTGATAATAATGCTTACACAAACAAATATATATTACGGTTATTTAGGACAGTGATTGTAGAGAAGTGTGTTATTGGAAGGAATGGTCGAATTCGGCCTTATTGAGTATTATTGTAACCAATTGCATAAAAAGTTTTGTCGAAATGAACTCCAACATATTCAGAATCGGGGCTAAAGTATATAATATTTACATAAATTGAGTTAAAGTTTAATGTTGTACTCAGAGACAAATACCAACATTTTCCAGAAACACTCTGTATTTCGTATTTGAGTATAGGCGATCATGTCGGTGAGACGTAGTTTGAGACCTGCCGTCCGATTGCCTTTTATGTTGCCAACAGCGTTTCATTGTCTTTTCCCTACGTCTAAAACAAGATAATGGTCTGAGTCAATGTCGGAGCATACGCACGTCTAAAATACTGGACACGTGTCTTCTGTCTATCACAACATGATCGATCTGGTTGGTGACTTTTCGATCCGCAGATAGCCAGGTAGCTTGATGAATTCATAGGGAGCATCTTTGGTCACATTGTGCTTCTCTTCCGTCGAGGCGTGAGCGCAAATCAGCTATATATTTAAGAACTTCGCTTTGATGCGAATTGTGGCTAGACATTCATCCACCGACGTGAATGTCAGGACTTAGCGATGGAAGCTCCCTCTTACCTCAAATCCACAAGAACCTACACGTCTCAGTTCCTGTCCCGTCCATCGCACATCTTCGGCGGCGGTGATGTCAGGCTTTAATTTCAGGACACCAACCAGCATGACAGCGGCACCTTCCCTTTTAAGGGACGGGACATTCCAGGTGTATACCCTTAAATCGTAATGCTTAATGCATTTTCCACGGTCGTCGTCATTAAGAGGGGATGTCTCGTTTGAGGCTATTGTTTCCTTTCAAAGAGGTGTTTTTTACGTGGCGACCCCAAACCCAGCGCACAACCCTAGGAAGGGACGGTTCGCCTTCTCACTCTAGGCCGCCTTCGAACGGATGTTCTTTGGCTACTCAGAGGATATAGTACTTGATCTAAGACCAAAAGTCGTGAGCTGATTGAGCCATACGTAAAATAAACATTTCTGGCCCAAGTGAATCAGTGAACTTTCCTCTTTTGGCTGAACTCCTACACATGACTCTATCCGTCTTTGAAGGATAAAACTAAATCACTGAAAGCCTTTCCCAACATTTGCAATGCTTTCGCGCACGAAATTTGGTTTGAAATATAAAAGTTGAGACAATTTCTTTCTGGATATTTTAATTCATTGTAAAAATCGCAATGCACGACTGAGGTACCGACTTAAGCGGCTGCTGTAAATAAACTGGTTGACAGATCGTGCTCATATTTATCATTGTAACTAAGGATATCCCTACCATCTAAGCAAAATACAATTTTTTGAAATATCATTTAACCTTAAATATCATTTTCTGGGTGCTTTTTTGTCCGAATGTTAAAAAATTTTTTATAAAACAATTTTTAATATAATTACTTAAAATAAAATGTAAAATAACTTTCACACTGACAATCGAAACCTTTTTATTTCTCTCCATCCTCCGAAAATATGTGCAGATCAAAGGCAGAAAAGTAAAGGCGGTTCCAGTAGATGCTGTTCAACGACATGCTGTATTTTGTAACTAAATTAGCTCATAGTAAATAAATTAATTTAAATATATATATATTATAATAATTATAATACATACATACATACAAAAATTAAAAAAAAAACAGAAACGGAAGAAAAATATATTTTCTAATAAATGAAATAAATATAACACAAATAACCGAGCATAGTTTTAAATCAAAAGTAAATAATAAACTTAACTAAAATAAAATTGATATAAAAGCGAAGATGTGAATTTAGTGGACAGTTTCAAAATGTGAAGCTTGTGCAAACGAGAAACGTAGCTGGCAAATTTTTAAAACAATAGTGAAAATTAATAAAAAAAATTATATATACTATCTAAAATTTACTGAAAAAACTGAAAAATCGGAGCACGACTCAAAAATAAAAATGAAAACCAAAAAATAATAACTAAAAAAAACAAAAAGGAAAAACAACTACAAATTATAAGCAACAGTTATGTAAGTGGGTAGATGCGAGTAAGTGTAGGATGCTAAGGGAACTTAGAAGTTTACTGTTGCCGACCGATGAGCTCCTCGTGCAGAACGGTTATAATATTTATATGATAACACAATATTATATACTTACTTATTATATTTAAACACTTCTATGTATGTATGACATGTAATTGTAGATATAATATTTATGTTAATAAAAGTAGTGAATTACAAAGCGAGCCGAGAGCAGAGTTTAAGATATGCGATGCAGAAGAAGGCGCAAGCAATTTTAAAGTAACAAAATGTAACGGGGTATGGTAAACGGTAAATGCAAATTTACAATTGGCGAAAGGCTAAATGCTAACTGCTTAATAACGGTGTTGTGTGACAGTTGAAAAAGTGGAAAGTAGGTGGTGAAGAATGCTAGGAGGGGAGGGGTGGGGCGTAAGGGTGGCGTGTTGAGGTGAAATTGAATTTAGATATTGCGTTTATTCCTTCCATTTTCATTCAGTTGTTATTGTAAAGTGTTTGCTAGCTAAATTTTACTTTAAATTTACAATTAAAATATATATAAATATATATCTACAATTTACCGTTACAATCGAGCTGTATGTGATTGATGATTGTTTGAGTGATTGTCTGCTCTATAATGATATGCCGCCGCGAAACAAAAGCGTGAGATGCAAATTTTAAAATTAAAGGAAAAATAACAAAAATAAAAATAAAAAAACGAAATCACAACAGCGGTCAATAGTGAATGCCAAAAGGGATTATAGAAAATGCAGAATATGTAATAAAAGGCAAATGAGAAGCATGAATACCGTTATGTATGTATTTAGTATAGAATTTGCGCTGGCCACTGTTTTGTGTAGCTGATTTATATAAATATATATTATATGTATGTATGTAATTAAAAGTGTTATTTGTAAATTCTGTTAAATCGACGTTTTTTTCGGATGCAAAACAAAAAAATGAAACACAAAAAGCAACACTAAAGTAATTCTCGCAGTATGTATTTCACATATACCTATACATACAGACATAAACATGCACATGGTTGGGTGTACATATGTATGTATGCGTGTCATATGCAAAGAAATTATTAAACAAATTAAAATATTGCAAATAAAACACAAAACAATAATAATAAAATATTATAGAAATACAAAGCATACTAGCCACGGGTAATAAAATGCAGCCGCGTCAAAAAAAAAAAAAACATAATGGTTACAAAAAAATATGGCACACACACAATGAAAAATTTACAATACACAACAATATATATGTATACATGCATATGTATGTAGGTACTTTGCATTACAACAAATCAGGAACTTACCAAACAGTAAAATAAAAGCGTAAACAAAAACAATAAAACAAAATGCATAATTAAAAATAATTGAAAAAATTATATATATTATATTACAAATCAAATAAACAATAGTCAAAAATGCTAATTTAGTGTTCATTGCCGTGTTTATAGTTACCAACAACAAAATAATTTTTATGAAAAACAAAGCAAGCGTAAAAGATTGCATACAAACAGAAAAACTAATAGTTACGTGGAAAACTTGTAAAAAAAAAATATTTGAAAAAATTTAATTTTTCATTTAAAAAATTTTTTTTGTCTAATTAATTTCGCCCTGTTCAAAACTTAAAATAACAAAAAGAAAGCTTTTGTTCTTACAAATACTATAAGTTCTTTGAGAGTTTGCTTGCCGATTAGCATTTACATGAAATAAGAACAATTGAGATGGTAGGAATCAAAAACAAAATTATAAGAAAAATTGGAACGCCCTAATATATATTTAAACGTGTAATTTCTCTAAAATATATATTAAGATTTACTAAAATTGCTGAAAAAGCCTACAAAGCGTCTCGTCTTGCCCTTAATACCATTCAGAAAACCGTTAAAAAAAAGTTTCTAAGGCAACAAGTATTCAAAAAAAATTATTTTTAAAAGACGCTTACGATCCAAAATTTTTCCCTCGAGTATTTTTCAACATTTTCTCTTAATGAAACTTGAAAGCAACCTTTTTTGAAAATACCTAATACCGCTTCACCTACTACTTACAATGGAATAATGAGTCAATAGACCTCAGATCGCGGAGCAATCCTCGTCTATGTATCTTATAACGGGATATTTTGATATGAACTTTGAGCACCGTTTTCGATTTTTAGTCCGTCATTGGATCCAGTCGTAGAAATATCTTTGCACAGTTCTGAAGAAAATATTATTTCCGAATATTTATCGATGGTTTCGCGGGCAATACAGTGTGATATGTTACTGAAACTAAAATAAATGATAGCCTTAAACCATATTCTTAATAATCTTCCGATCTTCTTGCTAATTTGAATTAATTTTTCGTAATTTAAATTTTTGAGAGAAATTCTCACAAACCACCCACTGTCCTATTAATTTTGCTATTGCCGAAAAAGCTGAGCGAAAACTGTGCATCGCATTGCTATCAGCTGATAGAGTGTACTCAATAAAATTTAACTGAGAGAGCACAACTCTTAAATATATTTGTTCTTATATACATATACATATATGTAAATATATAAATTCAAAATGTTACATTCTTTCTTCCTTTTAAATAGTTCTCATGAAATCTTCTCTTTATAACCAGGCTTGTCACGATTTCGAACAAAAAATCATCTAAATCCTCTTAATTTCTACGAAAGATTTCAAATATTATATTTTTGCCACATAAAAATACCGTTTCCGTTAATATTGTCAAAAATTCCGATTTCCGATTGCTTTTTTTAAATTTAACGATGGAAATTAGTATTAAAAAACGTTAAAAACTCAAACTCCGCGCGCAAATAATTATAAACAAAAACCCCAAGCTTTCACACCCAAATTTATTTACATATTTTTTCAATTATTTCAATCTCACGTTCCCACTCCGTGCGGAAGTTCAAGCACCCCCTTTTTCTTAACTTTTATATTACTGCATACAAACTTAGATGGGATTTTTATTTGAAATTATTCGGTCGCAACTCCAACCTCTGACTGATTAGTTTAATTGCTGTATATTATATGATACCCCAAGCTTTGACCCGTTTCTTATGTATTTATATATGTATGTATTTTTGTTTTGTTTTACCATAAGATATATACTTAATTTAAAGTTCATTGCCAAGTAATTTATGTACATGCAAACTCGTTCATTTGTATGTGCATTTGTTTGTATGTATTTTTGTTAAATTGTAAGATAATTATTATTTTTATCGTCGTTGTCTTCATTTATGTTCCACTTCCTGTTTTATGTATGTATGAAAATTTTTAAATGTATAGCAAGTAGTAAATCTGTTAAAATATGTAAAATTTTATTATATGGAAAAATGGCAAACTT